AACATATAATTCGTCTTTTGTCCAGTAGGGGGCAGAAGTCAAAACATGTAATTCGTCTTTTGTCCAGTAGGGGGCAGCAGTCAAAACATGTAATTCGTCCTTTGTCCAGTAGGGGGCAGCAGTTAAAATATGTAACTCGTTCTCTGTCCTCTAGGGGGCAGAAAAGCTTGTAATTCGTTCTCTGTCCCGTTTCTCTGTCCTCTGTCCAATTTTTTCCAATTTCCAGAAGTCAAAACATGTAATTTGTCCTCTGTTCGCTAGGCGACAGCAGTCAAAACTTGCAGTTCGTCCAGCAGGAGGCAGTAGTTGAAACATGTATTTCGTCATCCGTCCAGCAGGGGGCAGCAGTTGAAACATGTACTTTGTCATTTGTCCAGCAGGGGGCAGCAGTTGAAACATGTATTTTGTCATCCGTCCAGCAGGGGGCAGTAGTTAAAACATGTACTTTGTCATCCGTCCAGCAGGGGGCAGTAGTTGAAACATGTATTTTGTCATCCGTCCAGCAGGGGGCAGTAGTTGAACGCAGCAAGCGGAAACTCGAATCTCCCTGGTTTGGCCACGGCTCGCCTTTGAAAGCTAACAGCTCTTGGAGCGTTATTTTATAAACGGTCTTTAATCGTTTTTCTTGGTTTGATTTACCGCAGGTATCAGTTCCGCAGGAATCTCATTCACTTTACGAAGAACGGAAAAAGGTAATTTGTCGGCAGATTTTTTTTAAATTGTTTTCCTACCTGGATTGTTGAGCATGCATCAGGATATTCTGCAGATTGATTGATCGGCGCAGTTTTAAATCGTTGAAATTAGCTGAACAACGAGGCGAGAATAAGTTTCATTTAAACGAATAATCTTTGTCTTAACATAATCTAACGTCAGTCAGTGTTCGCATTTGTTAACAAATTACGTTTTATTTTTTTGTAGCAAAGCTACAGTTGCTAAGCTACCTAGCTGCTAGCTCAGCTGCCTGTTTAACATGCGTTGGGTCAAAGAAAAGTCCAGTTTTACAGCTGAAAACGGTTTCTACGTATTTAAATGTCGTAAAGTGTAGTAAAATGTCCTGTTAACTTTACATTGGGTAGTAGTTGTTTAGCTTAAAAGCAAAAACAAGTATTTTGGGTTCAGTTTTGCTCCTAAAATGAAAATTTACTGTTTAATAAGTTCAGTCAGATGCTGTTTTTACACTGGACTGCTCAACTTTATTTGGTAAATGGACTGTATTTATATATAACTCCTTTATATCTTATTATTAAGACACAAAGCGCTTTACAACACAATCTGTGTCCTCATTTACCCATTCATACAGCACTCTACTAGATCTCTACCAAGCCAATTGAACAAATCATTAGACTAATCAGAGCTTTATCACATTCCTACACCGATGGGACACACATCGGAGACAATGAGGGGCACAGTGCCCAGGGACACTTCGGCAGGTGACTGCTGGTGGATTCGAACCCCCAGCTCTTGCATTGGAGGACGACTGCTCTAACCACTCAGCCACAGCTTCCCCAATTTAAAATCATCAGCGTCAACCAAACTGTAGTTAAAATATAACTAAAGCAAAACATTAATTATGAGTATGTATTCCATTTCTTGAAGAGTTAAGTTAAACAGGATTGTTTTATTTTATTTTACCGCACACATTTATGGTTCTAATATTTAAGGGCAATGACCCAAACCAGCAAACGGAGGGGATAAAAGGGAAATCTGATTGAATAAAACAACAACAAACATCATATTAAACATGTGTTTGGTTTATTTTTATTTT